AGTATAACTGCTAGGATAGATGTCGTTATAGGGTGCGGCGCCTTGGCGAGTCACATAGACTGGACATATGCCTGCATTAGCACGCTTCGTCAATTGTGAAGGAATGGCTTCGCTGATGCCCTGGCCGGTGCCGCCGTTTGCGATGTTGAAAGCCCAAGGGTAGGCTGAGGCTATGACTGGCAGCAGGCCGCACACGGCGAGAGTCTCGAAGGAAAGCATCTTGTCGCAAGTGCCTGTGTGGCAAGAGAGTACCAAGACGGTGCGACGGTAGCGAGGACGGCCATAGTCATTATAATGTTCTGTCTTTCAAGACAAAGTACAGCGTAGCCGAAAGTCTCCGCATATGCGCATATCATGCCGTTAGAGATTATCGTCGTCGAGGCATCATCGTCAACCTTATGGTTGGCCAGTTCCCAAATACTTGCCGATCTGAACCCATTTAAGTCAAGTAATACAGTCCCCGCTACCTAAGGTACTCTTTATAAATCCTCGGTATCGAGGATTTGCAGAGGAACAAGCACCAGAGATTTTATTAATCGATATCAAGACCTTCTGAATAATCTGCTAGTTGTTACTTCACCAATCGCACCAAGGTCGTCTCCTCCTACCACAACTCAGCAATCACAGTAACCCTTCATCTTCGCACATCATCATGACCCATCAACCTTTCATGGTCTCCCAGATCTCCTGGCCCTCCATACGAGGTACTTCTCACATGAATTGGATTCATCTCTGTCGGCGCCTCATGCTGCGCGACACCATTGCCATGATAAGTCGGCCCGTCATACGACTGCAAGGAAGTGTTTGAATTCCTCCGAGGCGGCTCATAAGCCGGCAGGTTCGCGATGTCATCTTGCTGCTGATGGGGCGGGGGCACTGTAACAGTCCAGCTCGGTGCATTGCCATTGTTGTTCCAATTTTCATCGCTTTCGCGTGCCGCATTAGTGCGTCGCTTCATGCAGCGGTGGATGAGTCAGCCCCAGAAGATGATCTTGATGATGAGGATGACGACAATGGCAATGATGAGGCCGGTGGATAGTGAGCTTGAGCAGCTGTCGCCTGAGCAGTCTTCATTTGTGTAGTAGAAGCGCGGTAGGAGGTGTGAGGATGTTGTTGCCATGATGATGGTCGTGAGCTGCTTCGAAATGCTAATGCTGGAGTCCGTAAGGTGGCCTGAGAGATGAGAGCTTTTGCTATAGTGCTGTGAGTTGTGGTATGATTGTGAAGGTGATTTTCAAAGTAAGAATGTGAACATGATAGCATCAGTGGTATACTTATCCTCCAGCGATCCGTTTAGTAAGACCTGAGCAACATCAGATAGGTGCACCGCCCTAAGCTTCTCGCCCGTGTCTAGACTGCATTCTCGCGGCGCGGGCGCCACAGGTGTTTCGAAGGTGGCAGCGGGTCTATAATAAGTACTGGTTTGCAAGGAATTGGAGTAGCGTAGGCGCTAGCTACGATGTCGAAGGATTGCGGTCTGCATTAGCAGATCTGGATTCGCAGAGTTGGTTTTGGGGGCTGAGGTGCACTTTGAGGGCGCCTAAAGCGGCGCAGCATGCTAGCCTGGTTCTCAGGCACCCAAGCGACGCACAATGCTCTGAGCTCATCAGTCACGTTTATGAATATGGTGTACAAGAACGAAGAAGATAAGAAGCTGAAATGGGATTTGGAGGAAGCCAGAACTTGAAGGCAAACAAATCGGCTGAAGGACCCAAGCTAGGCCCAATGCGGAGAGCAACTTTGAGGCGACGCATACCTACCTAGGTAGATGTATGCCAGGTGTGGTGAAGACATGACGAGATAGTGTATTCATCAGACCAATTACGATTTCAAGACTCCAAACGAAACGTGCAGAATTGTGTGCGCTCTTAGCGTGCCGCACGAGAACATACTGAGCTATGAGGTTTTACCGAAAACCCAGATCTGATACATACAATGACTGCCGTCGAGTATCAAAATTGTGCAATTACAATGCAGAAAGTCGCAGGTAGCTCCTCCAGGCTAGAATGTGATCAAGCGCTCGGAATAGCCATCGCAGAAATGATGCACATGAGCGCCATCACATTCAGACCGAATGTAGTCGCAAGCATCTCCAGCTCATCCTAATAGCTAGTCTCGATCGTCTCAACCTGAATAAGGTAGTCAGAACTCAATTTTTCAAGCCTTTGTCCCGGTTGGCCAGAACATCGTAGCAGACCATGGGCCCGACAGCTCAATGCAAGTCACTTACCACGAGGCTTGACTTCTCGGACGCATATTCATAGCGTGGCAGAAGGTCTCCAGACTTCTCCGACATATGCGCAGCAGCAGCAGTCTGAACAAACATATTTAAGATGTTTCGCAGGCGGGTGTTGCCAAGCTCGAAATCTTCCAACTTGTCGGAGTAAAAGTTGAAAGCAGTGCTAGCGTCGATCCAGGCACATGCAGACCCGACGCAAGCCTCGAGGATCAGCCAGCGGACAAGTCGGACAGGTGTGTTGTCGAAGCTAGGCCAGAAGGCCATAATGAGGAAGCAGGCCATTGCCCAGACTGATGTGTGATATGGTCAGTGTCTACTCAGAACAGTACCAGATGTAAGGGGACTATACGCTGAGCAGCATGTGTGCTATAGATTCTGGCCATTGGAATGTACTTCGACAAGGTCTCTGAGCCGTTCTTCTGCGCGAAGCGGTTGAGAGCCCAAGTAGCAAAGAGCATCTGCGCAAGCGGGACCAGTACAAAGGATGCCACGAATCCAGCTGTCGATACACCAACGATGGTAGCAACCAGCAGAATAGCTTCCCATGTCCACGAATCCGAATGCTCGGCAGCCTCTTTAGTAAGGGCCGTCATACTGATGTACATGTCAACCGTAGCAATCGCCATAAAATTAACCACGTAAGCCCAGGCGACCGCGTAGTGACGACGGCAAGCTGTTTGGGTGCACTGATCGAACCGCGAGTAGAGGCCAGCGCGGTCTGAAGCAGAAGTCATCCCAGCCAGCTCGCGCCTTAGAGGCCTCATTGTGCGGATATTGAGGATCGCGATCAAGCCGACCAGCATAGACAATCCCACGGTCATGCAGAGAGCGTAGTAGACAAAGTTCGGTAGGGTACGCTGGATCCATTGCTCCTTCCAGCCGTCAATTACCGAATCGTGATCCATGTTTGTGCGGTATGCCAGTGCTCTGTTATGATGGAGCGTATGATGTCCTTGGAAGTTTCGTGATATGTTCGACCGGGAATGCGTTGAGAGGAAGCAGCCGTGGATCCAGTGTTCGACCGGCGAACACGTCAAGTAGGTGAGCGGAAGGAAAGAGGATTGCAGACGGCCGTAAAGGTGAGCGAGGCAGTCTGAGCCAGGCCAGGGCGGAATTCGGAAGGTCCGTCGTGGTACGTCATTGTTTCGCCAATCTTACCACACCCTGAGACATTACATGTAGGTACAGATGTAGCGTTCACATGCAAATGGGACGTAACAGATGCGCCTGGTGGAGAACATTGTGAACCATGGACGAAGAAAAGCCGCTCCCGCCGTTCGCTCGCACAGGAACAGGTCTTCCTGCCCCGAAGCCTGTCCGTTCTCGTACCGATCCACCGCCACCTGCTCCCCCAGAGAAGGAGAGGAACGTTCTGTCGAGGCGCTTACACTCGAACACTGTCTCCGGCAGGATCAATGCGCCTGCAACCAGTCATCATCATCATCATCATCATCATCATCATCATAGACATCGCGATCGTGTTCGAGAGACTGTCCATTCTGCGACAGAGCTGAGGCCTCCCATCAGCTTCGACCTCCTGCGCCGTGATAAGAAAACCCCCGATTCTGGTAGAAGAGGGAGCAACAGTCAAGCAGCACAGCAACAACAACAACAACAACAACAACAACAACAACAACAACAACAACAACAACAAGAAGAAGAACAGCAGCAGCAGCGCGATATAGAGGAGTGGCAGGCGCAGCAGCGTGCATATGCCGAGCGAGAGGCGCGACGGAGGGTGAAGCCTGAGGATGTCGAGAAGGCCAAAGCTGAGAATCTGCAGCGAGAAGAGCAGCTCAGGGCGACTTTGAAGCATGTAGAGGAGCTAGGCATGAGTAGCACGAGGCAACTCGATGACACATACTATGCGATTCTCGAGAAGGCGAGCATACTGCGCTCCACGATCGCTGGTCTGCAGCAGCTGGCCGAGGAGACCCGGCGGGTGGACACGCAATTTGACCAAGATACAAAGTCTATAGAGGAAAACACCAAGAGCAATATTACGGCTTTCGGCGGATTTGAGGAGCAGGAGAAGACGATCAATGAGTTGGTGGACAGGCTGAAGATCAGCAAGACTGAGACGCAGAAGTTGAATGAGCGGCTGGAGGCCGCGAGAGATAGAGTCGAGGCGTTTGAGAAGAGGGAGAATGCTCGGCAGTCGAAGCGCAGGAAGCAGTGGCATGCTACGTGGGAATCTGCGGTCGGCGTTGTGGTGCTTCTCGTCGCCATACTGATACTGAAGAATCATCGCGGTATGGTGCGGAGTCTGGAAGGCGTTGGGCAGTCGTTGGCGGCTGTCGGAGACGCAGCGAACGAGCAGGTGTCGCGACTGCTGCCGTCGCCTAGTCCGAAAGAAGATCCGTATCTGCAGCGGCTGTTTGATGAGTTATAAAGTGGCACGTCTCCCGCTACGGTTTATATACATGACTGCATTACGTGGATCATCGTCCATTTCCTGTCGAACTGTTCATCTTTCTCGAACACCTGCGATGTGCCGCTCTTTTCGCCTCTGGATCGGAGATTCCAGCAGGATCAAAATGATGCCATTAAAGTTGGAAGTCGTTGTTGTGAAGAGAGCGATTGTGAAAATGCCGTCTCGATGGAGGGCGGACCTCCGAGCTAGCTGCAAAAGCCCCGCTCCGCGGCATCTTATCGGAGATAATCTGGCAGGTTATGTACGCAAATTCCACATCATGCCCCATGAAATAGGCCTTGTGGGTAAGTCGATCATCGAATTAAGCCGTCGGCCCGGACAATTATTGACTTTAATCTCAGCTCAATGGTAGAGTGCTTGACTACGAATCAAGTGGTTGCAGGTTCGAGCCCTGCCAAGGTCACAATTCAGCGCAAGCCAACAGGATTGTTCAATGCACAGCTTTTCTTTTTTTCCCTTGGTCTTGAAAGCCCCTCAACGCCATGTCCTCTTTTCTTTTTCATCCGACTTGGCCTCCACCGACGAGATGAAGTCTCCCGTCAGGAACATTCAAAGTCGTACGAGCTGGGCAAACTTCGATGCTACGCCATTTCAAAATTCTAGCAGCTACCTCTTTGTATGCCCTGAGGCGTACCGCGAAGGATCAGCTTGTTCTCATAGCACTGAGTAACTCAATATCTGACTCATTCAGGCCAATTGTAGGGCGTTCCCCTTGAGGTCATCCTGGCGGCACACACCACACGAGGACAACCACGGTCTAAGGAGCAAATGTGCTGCGCCAGGCAGATCGTGGAAGGCTTGCAGGATAAGCAGCCTCCGGTACCACAGTGGCTACGATCACGCCGAGCAGCGAGCAAATTCATAGCCAGACTGAACGTCCGGCAAACGATGCACTCCATCACACCCAAAAAAATCTACCACTAGCATTGCCAATGCTCCTTAGGACGATCTCCTGGACTTTATCCTTCACTCTCATCCTCCTCCTGCAAACAACGACAGCACTCTTCCCAACCAGAAAGAGATACGAGTATCCTTCTGCCCGATCCTGGTTGGAGAACATAGCAGTCAGACAGAATGGAGATCTGCTCTTGACTTCAGTGCAAGTGCCCGGCGGCGTAAGCAGTCTCAACCCTCTGATCAACGGCTCTAAACCTGTACACTTCGCCTCTCCGGCTCAGCTGAACAACCATTCCGCGCTTGGCATCGTGGAGACGACAGCAGATACGTTCTATGTCGTTGTGGTTGACTATAATCTAGACACTGCTGCGATAGGTGTGAATTGGATATACAAGCTCATCTTCCCTGATGGACGCCCAGGAAGCCTGCCCTCGGTGGAAGTTTTCCTGGAGATGCCGGCCGCAGGCCTGGTAAGTCACCGAGCGGTAGCTCACCATGTGAGCATCATACGCTGACAGAGCATACCTGTCTGAAGCTTAACGGTCTGACAAAGTTCAACGATACGCTCCTTCTCGTGGCCGACAGTGATGAAGGCGCCGTCTGGGCTATCGACACTGAAGCTCCACGGGGAACTCATGGCTGCTGGCCAGATCATCGGCATCAACGGCGTCCATTATCAGCATGACATGCTGCACTTCACAAACTCCGACAAAGGCTTATACGCTTCTTTGCTGCTCGACGAGCATGCGGCGCCCATTGGCAAAGCGATCCCGATCGGGTATGTCACCAGAGAGCAGTCGCTCAATACTTCTGTTGACGACTTCGCTCTGGATAGAGACGGGAATGCGTTTCTTGCCACCCAAGCTGGACACACGGTGCAGGATGTTCCTCATAGCCGCGGCGATGCCTCCATCGTGGCTGGTGGGCTCAACAGCACAGCAATTGGGGGGCTCACTTCGGCTGCCTTTGGTAGGACGGACGAAGATCGTGATGTGCTGTACACAGTCTCAGCAGGCACGGGATTTGGCGTGGCGTATCCGGTGTATGTTAATGGTAGGCCTGTGGCTAATGGAGCGCGAGTGGTTGCCGTGGACGTCTTGTCGATATTCCGGTCCGGCTCATAGTAGAGTAGTTCAGTTGAAATTCAAGGCCGCTGCATAGCCTACGATCCTCAGTTTGCTAGACATGTTGCCTGTATTTGTTAGGCACACTCCGCATCCCGATGGCTTTATACTGCTTGAAACATACCCTTGGTCGATGACGTCCCCTCATATCCCTTCATGCAGGTGATTAGCTGACCAAGTCCGACTCCAAGTATACCATGGTCCATCTCGGCATGCCGAGTTGCTATAGCGCTCTTTTAGTACTATTTTCATTCGACAGCTGAGCTGCGCGCAACTGATACATTTTCACATTCCCTTATCCCAGACCAACCTGGCTGCACCATGTCGCCGCTCAAGAGGGCATCCGGGTGTGTCATGGGTTGCAAAGGGACAGCACAACAGACGAGTGCTGTCGGAGGCGTTGTCTCGACGAACAACAATGCTTTACTTGGACCTAAAGGAGGCAGTCTTTGGTGTCTCAAACTTACTTTATGTCGCAGGAGGTGTTCCGGGCAAGGAAGAAGTCGAGCGCGCACGAAAAGAAGCCTTAATGAGCCCAGAGTCGAGGAATATGAGATAGATGAGATCAAAAGAGTAGACGGTTTTGTGGAAGGAGCGAAGTGTTGGTCTCTCTTGTTCTAGCGTGAGGTCAAATATGTAACTACAGCCCGTTTCAGACGTGCATGTCACTTCACGTGCGTCCGTGGATGGCGACGTGCATATTCTGAAACGGCCCATCTCGCGGCCTGAATGCACGCACGTATAAGAGCATCTATGAGAGAGCTGTATTAATAGCAGATACATGCAGATCTCTGTTCACCTGCGGCGCAGCAGCGGACCGCTCCCGTCAGCCGCAGCTATAAATAGGAACACTGCTGCGCTCCGCAGAGCCTCAACTTCAACCTATCATGCGAGCCAGTCGTCTGGCGGTTACACCATCTCCATCCTTAATGCTGCGCCTGGGCTGTATTCATGCTCTTTGTCTTTGAGCTTCTGGGATGGCGGTGCAACAAGATCCATTTCCTCCGATGCGATCAAAGCAGCCATCAATCTCGACCGTCCCAAGGACCCGGTCACTACACTACGCTTGGTCGCGTCGTGGAGGCTGGACAAATTGCATGAAGAGCCTCATCAACGCGATGCGTCTAAGTAGAATATTATCCGATGGCTCGCATGTGGACTGGCTGGCCTTGTGCGTCATCTGCTCGACGTCAGATTCGACAGTCAGCGGGACACAGGCTTCTGTCAGCATAACGCGCAGACCGGAGACCCCGCAAAGGCTTCGATTGCATGACATGTTTGTCAGCCTCATCGATCCAACATCCATAGAGGGATGCAGCGCACCGCTCATGCAGGCGAAATGACAGCTAAATACGACTATTAGGGCCGCTAGCTAGTGATCTTGGCCAGTAAATTGCACCGAAAGCAGCCACCAGCGGCTACTGTGCACGAATAGCCCCAAGGCCATGTGCTGGCGCTGTATTGGCTCAAGGCTCGCTTGACACTCTCACAGGCAGGTACAGCGCTTTCGCTACCCTTTCTGTACTGAAACGTCAACTTGACTTGCCGGCGTCGCTGTGTGCTTGGTGCCGCCTAGCTTAACGATCCCGCAGATGCGGCGTACTTCAATCCTTCAGCGGGTCTTGGTCCCAGGTTGCCGCACCGATCTCAAAATAATCCAGACCCGCCAGTAACTAAGCCTCAGGTGCCCCGTGCGAGCATTTCGCCATAATGCTCCATCGTCAAAGACATCCAACCCTACCTGCAGAGCTGCCCATGGTCGGTCGATCCTACATAGAAGCCAAAATGTCCGTCTCTTGTCATACAGGTTTTTGCTCTGTAGGCTTACCGGCCTTGACTGACCGAGATTTACCACGGCACTACTCATCCTGCCTGGCAATCCTATCGATGACCCCTTCCTGTCAACACTTCACTTGACTTTGAAAATGTCGTCGGGCCAAGCGTACCCAAATATGCCAGGATCTGTTGATCCTCAACAGATGTGCATGGATGTCACAGGCACTGAATGGTACGCACCGAGTTCAGTATGTCAGCTTCGAGAGCAAGATGCCATCAATGAGGATGGGCTTGTCTCCTATTCACTTACAGCTTCGACTGGTCGTCTAACACCCTTCCAGTATGCTTACAACGATGCATATGTGACGCCCTATTCATCATCGACAGTCGAGGCTCAACCATGGACCTCCTCCGCGCCTACCTCTGTGCATGACGTGCCCGCGCTATCATACCCATACCAGCAGCAGCAGTTCATCCAGCCTTTACAACTCCAACCGGGCTTCAAGGATCCAAGCAGGCCAAGGAGTAGTCCAAGCACATTCGGGCCAAGCGCAGACACCATTACCTGGCCTGCGACAAGTGGCCTTGCCATCCAATATGGCACTTTTACTGCAGGGCAAACCTCGCCCATCACGTCCAATTTCCCTCCCAGTGTGTTCCAAACTATTCCGATAGAAGAGCATTACAGCATGGCCAGCCCTCCGGAACTTCGTCAACCCCAGCCGAGAAGACCGTACGCGAACATCCAGCCGAGTCCGCAAAGCACATGTAACGTCAAACGCCCACGAGAGGACGACTACCAGGTAGAGTCAGTCACCGAGTTCGAAACGAAACGGCGCAGGCGAACAGCATCCGTCGCATCCGCCGACCTTAGCGAGGACGACAGGTTCCTGTTACAACTCAAAGAGGATGAAAGTCTGCCCTGGAAGGACATCGCGAAACGCTTCCAAAGCGACAAGGGCAAGAACTTCAACGTGGCGGCTCTGCAAATGAGGTATAAACGTTTACGTGAGAAGTTCCGAGTGTGGGAAGAGCAGGACGTCAATGCTCTCAAATTGGCGCACGAGTACTGGGAAAGGAGCAAATGGGACATTATTTCTGCCAAAGTGAGCTATGCCGACAGGGTACTTGGAGAGCAACATCGCATGCTGACGATGGCACAGATGCTCGAATATGGTCTGAACGAGCGCTGGCCTCCCCGGCACTGCGCGAGGAAGTGGCAGGAGATTGAAGCCCAAATCGCCTTCACCCGCGCGGCGACGACAGGCAGCTTACGAGGCACGCCGCAGGTTTCGAGTCCGGTCGACGGATCGGTCCATCATTTTGGGTTCGTGCCCATGCAATGACTATATGGCAGTGAGCACCGCCATGATACCCCGGCCTTACATACCTGGCGGTACGATGAGAGTTTGCAGGTGACCTGCCATTGAATCTTGGAGGAGATGCATATTTTGGCGAATCAGGAGAGGCTTCAGTTATGGTTTCGCGGTCTCTGTCGGCTGGGAGATACCTGTTTGTCTTTCGCTTGGAGAGAGGAAAAGTCTGAGCACTATCGCTTTGTGCTATGCTTTTTTACAACCCCTGTTGGGCGGCATCCACCCTCTCA